GCCACTCGGCCAGCCCTCTGTAGAAACTTTTAACTTAAATTTGAAATGTGGCTCAGTTTTAAATATAAAATATCTAAGTGACCCTCCCACCGGCTCTCCTAACTGTCCTCCCCAGGAGGAACCCATCAGTTTCTTGGTGTCTTTCCAATGTTTAAGCAGATTCAAATGTTGGCCCCACACAAGGGGACGTATGTACATACTGTTTTCCTCTCTGGAGCCATTTTAAGTGAAAGGGTGGTGTTCAGGTTTTAGTTTTCAAACATCCCGAGAAAAGCAGCTGGGAGACGCACCTGGATCTCCACTTACTACCATATTATTGGGTTGTCGGAAAAGTCATGACGCATTTTTTTCTATTTCGTTGCAAAAATGCGTCATGACTTTTCCAACAACCCAATATAATGGCCACTGGCCTCTAGAATTAAATTTTATCACCCGCTACCAAGGCTGGCCTCTGGGTACCACCAACTTGTTTTATGCCTGGGTGTAGTGTGGAGGGCTCTGGTTATCGCGAACCACTCCAAACGTTCAAGGTAGGTGGCATATCCCCATTTTATACACGGGGAAACCAGCTTATAGGAGGCGGTTCACGCCCAGGGCTGTCTGATGACAAAGCCTTAGCTGGGGTGACGTTCCCCCCTCCAGGCAGAAAACTTCCTACGGATCATGGAGACCTGCAGCCAACCCCGCCTTGGTGAACAGGCTGACCAGGACTCCTGGGGGCCAGCCAGCCCCAAGGCTTCCTGGCAACCAGAGGTCAAGCCCTCACAGCCTTCCAGTCTCCAGGGGCCGGACTTTGAAGATGTAATGGCCATGAGGTCATCTGACTGGCTCCAGCAGCCCTCCAGAATAGACAATGCCCCAGTCCACCAGCTAAACCCGCAGCCATCCTGGGACTCAGAGCCCCTGTTTTGGCAAGATGTTCTGACCCAGCAACTCTGGCAGATTTTTGCTGGGACCTACCGTGAGGTGGACCAACCAAGTCATAGGCGTGAGTCTCCCTGAGGGTGGGAAGGGGGCAGCCTGGGACCGGACCACGTGGAAGACAACACAGGTTGAACCTTGTCCTTCTGCTGTCTCTGTCTCCATCACTTTCCTTCTCTCCTGTTGGCAGTGACAGAACAGGTGCCAGGCCTGGTAAGTAAGTTGGCTGGGTGGTTATCCTGGCAAGTTCCCATGGGATTGGTCCACCCCCTCCACCCTCAGTTCTTGCATGCCCTCCAAGGACTCAGGACTGTGCCCCAAGACTGTGCAACTCCACCTGGATGGGAAGACGGGACTAGGGGCAGTTGCCCGAGTCCTGTCCTCACTGCCTGGGTCTCCCGAAGGTTTTCTGGTTCTAAGACCAACCCTAGTCAGGTTCTCTGGTCTGACCAAATTGCTCTATTTTTCACGGGCAGGAAAGCCAGGACCCAGGACCATGCTACTCTGGAGTGGCATCATGTACCAAAGATGATTTAGGTAATCCCAGTGGGAGAGTGGCAGCCTGCTCGGGAGCGCAGGGGCCATTCTGCTACTTATCTGTTCTTGTCTCTGCCTAGTCCTCAGCCCCCCAAAACCCCCCCACAGCACCCCAGCAGGTTCCCAAGAAGGGAGCACAGCACCAGGCATGGCAACAGGGGGGATGCTTTCTCTTGTGACCCAGGTGAGACCAGGTCTGAGTTTGCACCCCACCCCTAAAGTCTGGGAGGGCTGGGGCAGAGGGAGCCAATGCATCTTAGCTGTGATGTTGGTCTACCCACAGGGGTCAGCTAGGAGAGACTATCACTTTCTGAAGCCCATGTAAGTGTAGGCACTGCCCCTCCTCTCTGTACCTCTGTCCCCAGGAGGTAGAGGGAACCTGAGTTGTAGGTGTGTTCTTCCCCTTCCCCATCCATCACCATGGTGCTGTGCTTGTAAGTAGAGATGAGGGGTCCGGGTAGGGATATGGAACTTGAGTGATTTTCACACCAGCATCACTGTCCCTCCCACACCAGGCTCAAGGGATTTGGGGAAAGAACTTGCGTGGAATGGGGAGGGAGGGGCGCTGGGTCAGCGCTGGATGCAGGTAGTCCCAACCTTGTGGTCTGAGGCTGGGGGAGCCCAGGTGAGAGAGACAGCTTGTAGGAAGGGGCCTAATGGTTAGGACCTTGAAGGATGAGCATGAGTTTTCCAGGTAGGGCTATGGGAAAGAGAATATTTGGAGGAGTGTGGATAGATTAGAGGAAGTATAGTGTAGTGGGGAAGCAAGGCCTGAGAGAAAACCCCCACATCTGAAAAAGAACAAAGCCCCTCTGGGGCTTGATGGGTGCCCTCCTCTGGGCAGAGGGGCTTACAGGCAGGCTGGTGACCGACCCTGAGGTGTCCCCTCCTAAGATGCTGGGACCCTGAGGACTTCAAAGATGCCTGGAGGCCGGATTTCTTACCCTGGCATTCCAGGAAGTTCGCCACCCCATACAGAATGGAGAAGATGCGGACGCTAAAACATGGAGAGCCCGTGCTGTCCATAGCAGTCAGCAGCTTCATGCGGCATGCATTCACCTGTGGCAGGGATGGTGTCAAGGTGTGGTGTCTGGTCGGCCAGGTGGTAGAGGACAGGCTCCCTGTGAGTCACCTGCGTGTACAGGTGAGTGTGGAACTGTCCCCAGTGGCAGGATTTGTGGAAGCTGGAAGAGGTACTTACAGGGAAGGAAGCTTACCTGCTTCTCTGCCCACCCCAGACCCGCGGGGCCTACCTGCGCACCTGCCTAGTGTCCTCAGACAGCACCACTCTGCTGACAGGTGGCCACAACCTGGCCGGTGTGAGTGTGTGGGACCTGACGGCGCCTTCCCTCTATGTGAGAGATGAGCTGCCCTCTGTAGCGCTCACCTGCCAGGCCCTGGCTGCCAAGCTGGAGGACAAACTGGCCTTTGGTGGCTTCACCGATGGCACCGTCAGGATCTGGGACCTGCGGAACCAGAACGTGGTCAGGTGTGGCCCCAGCATGGGTGGGGCACCCTGAGAGCCCCTTCCGACCTTGTCCCCTGAGCAGGGGTTCAGCAATATCAAGCTTAAAGCCCTTTGCCTGTTTGAGAGAGTTGAAGACCCAGGTTCAAATGTTAGCTGGGCTGTTTCCTCAAAGCCCTGTCTTAATACTTTTTGTCTACCTCAACTTTCCCATATGTCAACTTGGGGTGGTTGGGTGGGTGGTGTTCTGGGGCCCCAAGTCTCGGCCCCAGCTCTTTCCTGATACCTCTCCTCTCCAGGGACCTGCCGGGCCCCGTTAATGGAGCCAAGAGCATTGCTGTCAAAGGCCAGAACATCTGGATGGGGGGTCTGGATGCCTCCCTGCGGTGCTGGGACCTGAGGAACGCTGGGGAGCCTCAGGAATACCAATTTGAGTCTCAGGTGTGGGGGCTGGATGGGGTCTACTTGGCCAGGTAGTGGCTGGCCCTCAGGCTAGAGAAGGAGGTGGACACTGAGGGGTAGGGCAGGGGGTATTGGCATGCCAAGTTTTGGTGTTGCCGGGAGGAAGAGCATTGGATGCTTTCATAGTCTATCATTTAGTCTCTGTGATAATCCCATAAAGTAGAGGACCAACCCATTCTATAGATGAGCAAATTGAGGCCCAGAGATGTGAAGTTGCTTGTTGGGGCCATGCAACCAGGAAATGGGCAGATGGTTGGCCCCCAGGGTGGGTCCCTGTGCTCCTGCCCGTCTCCCAGGCCAGACTGGGCCCTGACCAAGTTTTTCCTGCCACCTACCCCCAGATAATAAGCCTATCCCCCAGTCCTCGGGAGGACTGGGTTCTGGTGGGCACAGCCAATGGCCAGCAGTGGCTGCAGCCCACCTGTGGGGGCCAGAAGCACATGGTGGGCTGTAAGGACAGTACCATCCTCGGTCTCAAGTTCTCCCCCTTCGGTGAGTGTTCAGGAATACCAGGTGGGGGAGTCCCCTGTGGCCCTCAGCCTCCCACAGGTCTCCCCCACTCAGGTAAACTGGGCCCAAACCTTTCTGACCCTTCCTGAGCCCCCTCCTACACCCTTCATGAGCAGGAACCTCAGTGATGCTGCCCACAGGGGCATGAGGGAGGTAGGGACTCCCTCTGTTCCCCAGATCCCCAGGGGTGTGGCCTTCAACTGCCATCTTTGAGCCGGTGCCCCTCTGCCTCCTTCCAGGCCAGTGGTGGGTGAGCGTTGGCATGGACAACCTGGTCAGCATCTACAGCATGCCCACCGGGTCAATGGTGTTCCAGGTACCAGGGTGCACAGGGGTGAGGCAGGTGGGCAGGCAGAGTTAGGGGGAAGGGTGAGTGAGCTCCCCCTTACTGTGCTCCCCAACCCTCCCAGGTACCCGAGACCTCTTCAGTCATGTGCTGTGATGTCTCCTCTAATAACCGCCTAATCGTCACGGGGTCCAGGGACCACGCCTCAGTGTACCAGATCACGTACTGAGGGGCTCACCACTGTCATCCCAATTCAGGGTCCTTTTCTTTGTCTTGTTTCCCCCAATGAAGGGGGCTAGTGGTGAAGGGGCATGGTGGATGGGCTGGTGATCTTTGTCACGTGTAATAAAGCAATCAGAACAAAAAATAGCTGACCTGGTTCTGCGTCATGCCCTGGCCATCTCATTGAGTTGAGATTGGTAAGGACTTTGTCCATCCTGAGTCTCTGAGCCTTTTAAGTCCACATTCTTTGAGAACCTGATCAAAGCCATTGACCCCCAGTGTTGGGAGAGAGAATGGATGTGGGGCACTTCCGCCTTCTCCCCTGAGCTAATCTCCACATCTCGTGGCGAGATGTTTTCCAGCCACTTCCTGCACGTTTCCGGGGATGGGGTTTTGGTCCTTCCCAAAACACCATTTGTTTAGGCCGTAAGAGTCCACCCTCAGTAGGACTCTGGGATTACCATTTGCTCACCTTTCCTCCCAGAATAAGAAGCAACCCAGGTGGTAGCAACAAGTTGCTTCCTTAACCGCAGAATTTCTCCATAAGGTGCTTTCAGACTCTACCTGGGTGTGGCTTGTTTCCAGCAGGGACTCTGAGTGCCATCTCCCTCCAGAAGGTCCCAGCAGCATCCCTGCTTGGAGCCCCTCAGCCATTCTAAACCCATGGTCCTCATGGCAGACCATAGAAGCTTCCAGAAACCAGATGTTATGTCACCTACCAGCACTGTCCCACTCTGGCTCCCATGGGGTTTCTCTGTGCCTTATCTGGAGACCTCTCCCCTTGTAACTGAGGGGGAACCCCCACTGCCCTCTTGGTCTTCCTCAGGCCAAGCTCCTTACCTCTGAGCCTTTGCACATGCTGTTCCCTGTCTTTGTCACCCTTCCCAGCAGCTGTTTCTCCTCCCTTAGCTTTCAGCCACTACCTCCTCTGGGACTGAGACTTTTGCTGTGACAATGACAGTAGGCCAGGCATCATATGGCCGGCTCTTAGGAGTTATGTCTGGGTCTCAAAGGAAATATCACTGCACCCCAAATACCATGTGTTCCACTATAATCCTCAACCCTTTGTACGTGGGCAGTATCTGAGGAGGACTAGCATGAAAAGATACATGAAACTTTTGTGCCAGGGATTTAAAAGCTATGTGTGACTTGTCTCCCTGCTATGTTGGTCCATCAAGCTACATATCAAGATGGTGAAACCACCACCATCCTGAAACTCTGAGAATCTACCTGGAGTCGGCCCCTGTATACCCCAAGGAGAAATGTCCATTGCATTCAACCACTGAGACCTGGGGGCTGGAGCTATTTGTTACATGTCATAGCCACACTGCCCAATACAACACTCATTTCTCATGGTAGACCCCGCAGTATTTCATGCAGAATGAATGATCTCATTTGTCCAGATTAGGAAAAAGGAAAGCCATTTACACCCAGTCACACAGCTAGAAAGTGACCTTCCCTCTTCCCCAGCCCGAGACAAAAGCAGTTGTGATAAATAACGTTTATTTTCCCAAAGTCCCCCTGCCCAGCTGGCCCCACACCCAGCAGAGGAAGATATGAGGGGGTCGAGCAGAAAGCAGATGAGATTTGGTACCCACAGGTACAACTGGAGAGGGTGGTGTTGGGATTGCTTTTCTGAACACTCCTCCCCTCAGAGTAGGGCTGCAAGAAGGGGGGTTCTCTCAGTAGACCACCTCATACACAGTGGCCTTCTTGTCCCCCGAGCCTGTCACGATGTACTTATTGTTCCCAGAGATGTCACAGCTCAGCACAGAGGATGACTCCTTAGACTGTTGAAGGGAGGAGAAAGGGAGAGGTGAGTTGTGGCCTATACTGGCACAGGCTGGTGCAAGCTCCTGTGACGGCAAGGTGACGGGCCAGTGCCGGCCCCCAAGGATGAGCATATGGTCAAGGTGGGGCTGAGACAGAAAAAGGTCCTTTGGAAAGGAGGCTTTCTGGACAGGTGTACTGCTCCTGAGAAGGGAGGGACCTTCCTAATCTAGATGCCAAGAGAGAGAGAACTGGGGCATTGCCCTTTTCTGGGAAGCTCAGAGAGGTTGTGCACCAGGCAGGAGGCCACACAGCACAGTAGAGGGCTAAAGTTACACCAGGGCTCAGCAAAGTTTCCTGTAAAGGGCCCAACAGTAAATTTTCAGGCCTTGTCTAAAGTCCAAATAAGTCTTTAGCCATTAAGTCCAGAGGCCAAATAAATCAACATCACATTTTTTTTTACAACCCTTTAAAAATGTAAAAACCACTCCATGCCCACTCAGATGGCTATAATAAAAAAGACATAATAACAAAACAAAAACTAAAAAAAAAAAAGAAAAAAAGACACAATAACAACCCTTCTATGCTGCTGGTAGGAATGGAAAATTTAGAAAAAAGTCTGGCAGTTCCTCCAGAGATTAAACAGTTATCAGCAATTCCACTCCTAGGTATATGTCCTGGAGAAATGATAATGGGTCCACACAAAAACCTGTACGTGAACATTCATAGCAGCATGATTCACAATTGCCAAAAGGTGGGAACAACCCAAGTGTCCATCAACAGTTGATGGATAAAGTGTGGTCCATCCACACACTAATATTATTCAGCCAGACGGACACTCTGACACCTGCTACAACGTGGATGAACATGGAGGACATGATGCTCAGTGAAATAAGCCAGACACAGAAGGACAAACACTGTGATTCCACTTTTATGAGATCCCTAGAGGAGTCAAATCCATAGAGATAGGAAGTAGATGGTGGTGCCAAGGGCTGGGGAGGGATTGTTTAATGGGGAGAGTGTCAGTTTGGGAAGATGAGAAAGTTCCGGAGATGGATGATGGGGATGGTTGCACAATAGTGTGAATATACTTAATGCCACTGAACTGTGCACTTAAAATGGTTAAGATAGCAAATTTTATGCTATGTGTATTTTACCACAATTAAAAGCAAAATAGGCTGCACCCAGATTTGGCCCGCAGGCTGACGTTTGCCCACCCTGCTTTAGTAGCAACTGGCAGGTGAGAGGCTTGGAGGGCCCTGGGGGAGGCTCCTTTTTCACCACCAGTGCAGCCACCCTGGGGTCCCTGGGCACTTAGCATCTTGCCAGGGTGGCGGCTCCAGACCAGCAGGTACCTGGAAAATACTGGCACCATATGGCGTCCTCCAGGCATTGAGCAGGTTGTCCTTCCCGGTGCTCACAAACCAGCGCCCTGGGGAAAGAGAGCAGGGAGAGTTCAAGAAGGGGTCTGAAGAAATCCTGGGCTATGGGCTGCAGGCAGAGGTGGGACAGGAAGCTCTGGCCTCTCCCTTTTGGACACTTTTACCCTCATTTGGAGGACAAGAGGCCCCTTAGGGAACTGAGGATCCTTCCTTCTATTTTCCAGATGGTGAAGTCAGGGCCCCAGAGACTGCATCTGGCCTACAAGAAGGGGGAGCCCCTAGGAGAGAGCTGGCCAGATAAAATACATGGTGCCCAGTTACATTTCAATCTTTAGTGTAGATGTGTCCCAAGTATTTATTATTATTGTTTTGTATATATACATCCCATGAAATACTTAGGACATATTTATACTAAAAAAATCATTTTTTAGTGTAAGTATATCCCATGCAATATTTGGGATATATTGTACTAACAAATTAGTTGCTTTTTAGTATGAGTGTCCCATTCATTATTTGGGATATACTTAGATAAACAAATAATGTGTTAGCGTAAGATTCAAATTTAACGAGGCATCCTATTTTTTTGCCGTGTGTGTGTGTGTGTGTGTGTGTGTGTGTGTGTGTGTGTGTGTGTGTGTGTGTGGTATTTGTTTTCTTTTGTGTTTTGGCAACCCTGCTCCAGTAGCCCATAGTCCCACCCCAGCCCCGGGCAGACACACCACAGGAGGCAAATTTCAGGGAGAGCACACAGCTCTCATGAAGGTGCAGCTGGTATTTCTCTGGCTTGCGGACATGCAAGATCTCGACGTTACTGCTCTCCATGCCGACGGCCAGCCAGTCCTGGTTGGGGCAGTGGCCCAGGGAAAAAATCTGGGGGTGAAGAGGGAAAAGGTGGGGTAAAAAAAACCCTTGGGACAGTGGGGGATGCCCAGAAGAGTTGCGGGGAGGTGAGAGGTCCAGTGCTCCCCCACTGTGGCCCCTGCAAGGAGAGGCAGCTGGCCCAAGGCCTGGAAGCAGCAGGCAACTGCATATCGAATCATTAATATTAATCAGCATTACACAGAACCCGGGGGCCTCACATCCATTATCTGCTCAGAAAGCACAACAGCTCAAGAAGAGGGGGATGAATACAGCGAGGGCAGTCACTCCCCTTGAGCAGATGTTGGAAGGGAAGCTGAGGCCATGTCTGGCTCAAGGTCAAAAAGCAAGTCCATGAAGGACCAGGCGTTCTGACTCCCAGCTTGGAACTTACCCCATGTGACAACACTTCTTTTTACTTTCATTTGAAAGGACTTGATGGCCTCATCATTCTGTGCCCACCCCAAGTGAGGCACAGAGAGGAATAAAGCCCTGTTCCATCCTAAACCTCTCAAAGTCTTACTGACAAATAAGACATATGTGAAAGAACCATAAATTTGCAGCAGAGAAAACTGGAAGGTTTCACATATTCTCTCCTGGCCATATAGAAGTGTTCCTGTATAAAGACCAGGAACCCAGTGGGATGGGAGACACTCACCATGAAATCGTCTGATATGTATGTAACCCATCTAAGTTTCGGGGGCAGGGGATGTACAACTATATCCACCTGCACCCCTGATTTCCCTATCAAGGAAGCCTTCAAGCTGAAGAGAAGGTAGAACAGAAAGAGTGTGGGAGCTAGCTCCCCCACAGGCTTCAAGGAAGGAGGCAAATTGGATAGGTTTTGAAGGATGAGCAGGAGTTTACCAATTAGAGAAAGGAAGGGAAAGGCATGTCAGTCAGAGGGGAACAACAGGTGGACAGGTCTAGAGGTGTCATAGGGCATGGTACGTTTGAGACTAGAGTATGGAGGCCTTAAATAACAGGCCAAGCAGCTTGCACTTTGCCCCCTAAAGCACTGGGAGATGGAACCTGGGTCCAGCGTATCTGAAAACCTGTCCTTGACTCTTTGCTCAGCCCTGAGAAGCCCCTGATTCTGTCTAGCCCCTTCAT